AAATTACAAAATGAAAAAAAGAAGAGGAAATTATATCCATTACCATGCAGTCCAAGCCAAAAAGAGTTCCCGGCCCAACTCTGGCCTTCCTTTGCTGAAACTGTACAAATAAGTGTACATTATAACTGTTGGCTCTGCAACACCCACTATCAACAAAGGTTGCCCACCAAATATGGAATGAATGACTCCACAAATAGCTGTAGAAGCCAACGTTTCCACTGTGCTGAGGGTGCCATCTAAAACAGGGAAAATATAGTCTTCATTCATGAAAAGCCATAAACTCAAAAAAGCAAAAAAAAAAAAGAAAGAAAGAAGAGGGGATAAATGAGATTTGGTAATAAAATCCAGCATTAATATTCTTGACATAAGATGATTTGCATTGACGTAACTTCATCCTAGATCATGCTGGCTTTTAGATATTCTCATTTTAAGGAGACAAAAAATGCAGTACCTGTTTCTCGACTCAATTGCTCTCCAAAGGCAATAACAGGAAGAGCAGAAGCAAAGAAGATATAGGTAGTCGGAGCTAATATCCTGATAGAAATATAAAACCAAATATGAATCAAAATGGAATATCTCCACCAGAGTAACATAAAGTAGTACCAAAACCATCAAAAAAAGAACATACCCAAAGCCTGAGCAAAGTGCACTGACCCAATCTTGCTTGTAGCACGCGCTTCTTCCCTTGATGTCTTTGATTATCCCCTTGAATGGACTTCTGATGTCTTCCATAACTGATTCAAGAGAAAAAAGAATTACATTTATCTTATAATCAACAATGACAACAACACCGATATCCTAACACCCTCTTAATCACAAGATAAGAAACCATGTAATGTGTAAACTGTCCCTATGAAATTGGCAAATCACATGAATAGCCTATTAAGGAGAACATGTATGCATGTATATATGCATGCATGTATGCATGAGGATTTTATGTAAAACCAATAGACAGTAACAAGCAAGAGAGTCATGATACAACTACATGTTAAAGAGAGAATTAATTACCAAAATTAATGGGATACATGTGATTGGTAGTTTACAAGTAATAACATCATATTTTATAAGCAGAACCATCCAAAAGAAATCTAATATATAAAACTCGTCTGATCTGCCCATGCTCGAACTGTTATTGGACATCTCATAAAACAATAAAAATATTAACAACTTTTCAGATGAATGGTATATGGCAGAATGAATGATAAAAGAATCCAAGAATGTCCAAGAAACAAAAAACCAATTCTGCAAGATTTTTTTTTGTTATTAAAAATAAAAAGAGCAGAATAAAAATTTCATTTTGAAAGAACCCAGAATGCCTAAAACAAAATTTCTGCATCGTACAAAGCATAATAGTTTTACTCACAATTTCTTAAAATGGGAAAACAAAAAAAAAAAGGTGAAAATGAAATCTAAAATATGAAACAGAGCAAGGAAATCAAGATTCAGCTATTGAACTCTTCTCTCATTGTACACAAAGAAAAAGAGACACATTTTCGATGAATGGAAAGATCTGAATGACCCTTCTTTGACAATAAAGCAAAAGGAATTTCAAACATTATCTCACATTTCAAGGTTTTCTTCTTTTTTCATTTTGATTCCATTTTCAAGCTCCCATGCACGTAAAAATCTTATATGAAATGGGAAAAGCAGCTCATTACACCGGCATCTATCATCAATGAAATGGAAAAGAAAAAGAAAACTTTACGGACCTCGAAGCTCCCGCTCCGGAGACAGAGTTTCCGAGGCAGGGAGGTGGTCGGAAATTTCAGATTTCCCCGGGAGGTTGGGAAAGCGAAAAGGTCAGATTTTTCTTTTCTCTCTTTAAGACTCCTATAAAAAGCCAAAAAAAAAAAACCAACTATAATAAAAATAATCAAAATCAAACTTGCTATATTTTTCCTTTGAATGACACCATGACAGCGCTTATTTTCTTCCTCTTAACACAGACGAGAGAGAGCAAATTTCTGAAGGTGTCGGAGAGAGAGGCCAGCGGTTAGTTTAAACACTGAGCGGGTTTTGCGGGGTCCACTTCTATTTGTGGACCCTTAATATTGGGACGTTGCTGACGCGGCGTGGTCTCGGTGGGCCAGACCCTAGGCGAACTCGGGAGGAATTTCCATTCTGGTTTTGTCCATTCTCTAGAATGTAAACGCCGTGACAGAGACTGGTATACTCACATGACAGAAATAAGAGTTGCATAAATTTAAGCAAAAATACATTTTTTTAAGAAATTAAAAGAACCCCTAAACGCATTATTAATCAACAGATTATGAGGAGAGAGGAAACAAAGAATATATTGTTCACCAAAAGGAATCTAAATGGGAAATCTAGATATCATGTAATCCATTGGCTACTGAACTATATAGTCTTCCCCTTCTTTTCTATATAGACAAACTTGAATGGAGTAGAACAATATTGAATATTAATTAACTTGAATACCATGTTTAATTATGCTTAAAAATTTGTCCGAGGCACCAACAACCCATTATTGGGAAAGTAATAGCATGAAACTGGAGATGTTCAAACATCTAATGTGAGAAAATATAGTTTTATTCTCCAAGTGCAATGTATTGGGAATATGAATTAGCTGGCAAAATCTAGGAATTTTCCAAGAAATTAATGATTAGCGAACCCAAAAAAAAAAAAGAAACATATAAAAAATGCTTAAAATACGTTGCTGTGATATGGGACGCTAGTAATATGAGGAGGGCATAAGAATTCAAAGATCTGTCCGCGTAAAGGGTTTGGTTTTGCCAGATGGACTGGAGGGAACCCTTGTTCCTGTTCCTTATCAATAACCGCGTTGAAATGAAGAGACCAAGCTTTAGTTTTCTGTCTTTTTTCTTTTCCTTCTTGACAGACAGAGGAAAAGAGGGAATACATTTTGGAACTTTGGTCAGTTGCCAACTGACATTCACCCAATCACATGATGACCAGTCAAACTTTTCTCAGCAGTTGGCTGAGGTCCCAGTTCTGTTGTGTGTCCATATCTCTGCATTTTCATCATGGTTTCATTCTTCTTTTTTTTGGCTAATCCTGCTATGGAATATGATTAAGTTTGCAGTCATTGAATCAGTGTCTGTGACAACCCTTGATACTGATATTCATACGGGGTGGAGTCCAGCTGATCAGCCAATATCTAAATTTGAGTAATCCGGGGTTCATCTCTGAAGCTGAACCCTTTTAACACTTTAAGAATAAATTAAATTTATTTTTAATTCATGTCAACCTGAGGTATATTTATTTGTACCCATATTTAGTTGTACAAAATTTATGGTAATTATTGACTTAGCTCACCTTGGGTTTTGTGATGAACTCTCAGTTTGCTCTTTCCAGATTGGCATAAGAACTGTCTCACAGTAATCTTAGAAATCATTTAATGCCAAATTTTCAATAAAAAAAAGGTGTTCCGAATTTTAAGCAGTTAAAAGCTACTTAATGTATTAAGTCAATTTTATTTTTAAGTAAAAATATGTTATGTAATTACATTAATCTTATATTCTTTCCTTTTCAACTTTTATTTGTGCAAAATATTTATAAAATTTATATCACTTTTTTGTTCAAAAGATTTAATAAAAAATCTGCTTTACATTTAATTTTCAGTAACAAATCAAATAATTTTATATCATAAATTCAGTATTTCAATTTTTTAAAAATGTAAAAATTTAGTTCTCAACTTTTTAGTATTAAATTTCTTCAATTTATTGAACATTATCTAACTTTTTGACTTTTTCCCAAAGACACCAAGCCCAATGTTTCTATACTTCTTTCCATTTCTCAGGTGAATTCATTTTCCTACTCAATTTACTGTTGTTTGCAATTATTTTAACAAATAAAAATCAGAGGTCTAAAATAATTGATAGTTATTTTAGAATAACTCCAAGATTTATGATATGAAAGCCTCCAACTCATTTTACAAGGTATATTTATTTTTCTCTTTTAATAAAAATTACATTGTTTAACTACTTAATTATTTATGCTTGTTTTTTTATGACGTAATACTTGAGAAAGCTATTAAATTATTGAAGAAAATTTAAGCAAAATTTTATTATTCTATCGCATTGAATCAAATTCATATATTTTTATTTTAAATTAAATAAGCTCACATAATTAATAATTTATTAATTATTATTAATCAAAATGTCATTTGTCATTTTATGTTTATGCAACGTCGATATGGAACGCAAAAAATCACATGTTCATGTTATTTTCACATCATCATGTCACATTATCATATGTCATAAAATGATAAATGTCATTTTGATTAATAATAATTAATTAACTATTAATTATAAAAATATATTTGATTTAAAATATACCAAAATATTCGAAAAAACCTAGTAGCTGCTGTCTTGCATGGAGGCAGATTCAGTAGGAGATCTGCCACCGAAAGCAAGAGGCGATTCAATGTTGTTGTCTGATAAAGTGGGTTCAAAAAAGATTCAATCGAAGATGGAATTTCCTCTCTGTAGAATTTACAGACTGCCACACATAAGCAGAATCAATGCTCAACTCATGCAGAGTTTCCACATCTGTCCCATCGTAATGCTCTTATGAATGCCACCAAAGAAAACATCGCAGATAAGGATGATACATCAGAGGAAGGAGAAATAGTGGATGAACCAGATTCAAAGGATGATTCCGATGAAACTGACTAGGGAAGGCATTACATAAGGCTAACCAAAGAAGAGAAGAGACGGATCCGTAAGCCAGGGAGGAAGACATTAATTGTTAAATTGTTAGGAAGGGACATTAGCTATACTTATCTCTATAATCAAGCCAAGCAATTATGATCATTGGTTGGGGAATTTCAAGTTGTAGATCTTGATAATGGATTCTATTGTTTCAAGTTTAATAAGAAATCTTATTATTATCATGTTTTAACAAATGGCCCATGGATCATAGTAGATCATTATCCGACAATTAGAAGATGGACTCCTGGTTTCAGGTCTAAGGATGCATCTATTGATTCAGTGGCTACATGGATTTGTTTACCAAGAATGCCACTTGAATATTATGATTATGATGTTCTGGCTAAGATTGGCAATGAACTAGGAAGAATCCTGAAAATTAACCGAACCGCTTATCAAGCAACTAGAAGGAAGTTTGCTAGAATGTGTGTTGAGATTGATCTGAACAAACCTCTTGTTCCAAAAATCTTCATTGGAGGCAGATGGCAGAAGGTTGAATATGAACGTTTGAGGATACTTTGCTTTCACTTTGGTAAGTTCGGTCATAATATTAATAGTTGTGAGCAAAGACTTAGAGTAAGTGAAGAGTATACTGAGAAACATGTACAACAACAAACAAAACTAGAGAAAACCCAAGAGAAGGATTAGGAGACATCGAAGTTTGGACCCTAGCTGGTGGCTACAAAGGACTATCGAAGAGGACCATCTACAAAGGTGAAGGTGGGGAAACAGGAGGATACAACTACAGCAAGAAGGCAATCTAGGTCACATTTTGTTATGTTGGAGCATGATACTGATATTCAAGATGATAGGGAGATTGTACTAGAGACCTTGGAACTTCAAGTTTCTGATCCTAAAGCATGAAAGACTGATAAACAAAAGATGACAATATGAACGAAAGCCTCATTGAAGAAATTTTGCAAGAAACAGCTCAGGTGTCGAATAGCGATGCCTCATCTTCCAAAACTGCAAAGGAGAGAGCAAATTTAGAGATAGTCAACATAGCCCTATTAGAGATGATTAAAAGACAAAATAAGAAGAATGGAATAAGGACAAGGGATGTTCAAGTGGAGTTCCTATTGAAAGAATACTACCTTGGGCAAAGATATAAACCAGAGGGAACAGGATATGCATATATCACAACACGAACAATCTTCATGAAATGAAAGCACGGTGTTAACTGGGGATAGGGGTTAATGGTGCAGCAAAGAATGAGGAAAGATATGATGATTGAGGAATTTTCAAAAACACTGAAAATACCAATACTTCTGATGATATGGATGTAGAAAGATTAGAAGCGGGAGCTGTGGAGGGTTATTCTGCTTAACAGTTTTTTCTCTAATTACTTCTTTTTTCCTGATTTTTTAATGCTAAATATTATGAGTTGGAATGTAAGAGGGTTGCCTCTCATAGATATGTTATAAACATTCGATACCTATTAAATTGCATAACTCTACATATTTTGATTTATTGGAGTCGCGTATCTCCGGTACAAAAGCAAACAAGATTTGTCGCTGTATGGATTTACAATTTTTTTTGTGTTGAAGCGGATGGATTTGCAGAGGAATTTGATATTATGGAATCATTGGATTTCGAGATTGAGGTTATGGCTAATTCCGCTCAATTGATACAACTATTAGTAAATTCCTCCAATAGCCACTAGCTTCTTTTTGCGATATATGGAAATCCTGATGCAAAGGAGCGAAGCAAGCTATGGTAATCTCTAAATATGGCAAGCAATCTACATAATTTTTCGTGGTTGGTTATGGGAGATTTTAACTAGTTAATTTCTTCTGAAGAGAAACAGGGAAGGAAAAATGTTAACCTGTCGAATTGTAATTTGATGTTAAAATGCTTGAGCTATTGTGACCTATTTGATATGGGTGCTTCGGGTTCGAAGTATACTTGGTGCAATAAATGAGATGGTCAAAACTATACCCAAGTTCAGTTGGATAGAGCGTTAGCAAATAAGGATTGGTGCAGTCTATTCCGTAACACATATGTTTTGAATCTCCCAAGGACACACTTAGATCATATATCGAAACTAGTACATAATCTTGACTCCCATCTCAATCTTCATAGATGAAGAACTTTAGATTTAAGGAAGCATGGATGTCTCATCCTAATTTTTCTGAGATTATTATAGAGAGTTGGAATTTTGAAGCAGATGATATATTAGTAACTTTGAGAAACCTTGCAACAAATTTAAGTAAATGGAGCAAGGCATTCAATGCCAATTAGATAAGGGACCTAATGATTATCTTCAACATCTAGAGACCATTCTGGTGGAAGAGTTTAATCTAGCACTTTACAAGAGGAGTTACTATGGCAATAAAATGGTAAGTAGATTGGTTGAAGTATGGAGATGGAATTCCAAGTTTTACCATGCAATGGTAAAAAACAGACAAAGAAAAAATGAAAATTGCTACTCTCAAAAGAGATAACGATTCATGGTGTTCGGAACCAAAAGAATTAGAGGCGTTGATAACTCAGTTCTATTTGAAGCTTTATACTGATGATGTAGGCAAAACCCATTGCCAGCAAAATGGATTGGAATTTGAATGATGAGCAGTGGTCAGTATAATTTGAACCAATTAGCAGTAATGAGGTTAGGCATGCAATTTTTAATATGAGTCCTAATAAGAGTCCAGGAGCGGATGGATTTCCTTCAAGTTTTTTCAAAATAATTGGACACATTGGAAAAGATCTAGTTGATTTGTTCAGAATGCTTATATTATTGGACAGTTCCAGTGGAACTGAACCATACTTTGATAACGCTCATTCCAAAGTCAAAGGTCCAAAGCAAATTAATCAGTTTAGGTCTATCCATTATTCTCAGTACCTCTCAAACTAATCACAAAAATTTTGGTAGATAGGTTGAGGCATACTGGATGGGCACCTTGGAAAATATTAGAGTAGTTTTACTCCCGGAAGACAAACAGCTGACAATATTTTTTTTGAAGATTAAATATGTGGTGATTTATTCAAAAGGGGAAACCCATTTACACAAAAGGAGAGGGAACCGGAAAATTCAGACCAGGATCCTTCTCTGGAGCTGGCGTACAAAAATTGACCAGCAAAAACTAAATCCTGTACAAGAGATTTGACAGCAAAAAAACAAGCAAAAGACCACAACCAGGCCTGAAGCAAAAAGAGGCAGAGGGAAAAGTAAGAGAGAGGAACATAACCAATGTGAGTCTTTCATCCTCCTGCAGGTCGTAAACTTTTCTAGAGCATAGCAGCCCATGAAAGCTCTCTGTCACAGAGGCATGCATTAAAACCCAACAACAAGAAGCAGCAGACAAAGAGAGTGCACTATCCAAAGCAGTTAAAGATAAAGACTTAGATGATCATGAATTCAATCAACCCCTGATTTAGCAAGGTTGTCTGTAGCCTCATTACATGACCTTGACATGTGCCTAATCTGCCAGCCACTAGCCACTCTGTTTTTGATTGAGCAAATCTAAAGAATAAGTTGTCGCAGTAGCCATGGGGTTGTACTAGGGTTGGATACCCAAGACACAACATTTTTGGAGTCAGATTCGATGATGATGCTTTTAGAATTCGCCCACGAGGAGGCTGCAAACAAAATCACGGCCTCTCTCACTGCCAAAATTTCAGCAAGGTTAGCATCAACCCATCCAGCTTTCTTGAAAAAAAATAAGCTTAACAGTGCCATTATCATCTCGTAGAATTCCTCCAATTCTAAGAAGCCCTCGACAACCCTAGCTGCTCCGTCTGTGTTGAACTTGAACCAACCTTCAGGAGGACACTCCCATTGAACCTTAGGTTTATTTCCCTTCCTTGAAGTGGGGGCAGTAGTAAAGGATGGGTCATTAGCAATGTTAGTGATGGATGCATTAGCATCAGGCCATTTGGATTTGACCCACCATGCCAACCTCAATTTGATGATTTCCATCGTATTTGCAAGATCCCAAGGTTTTCCATCAAAGATCGTTTCATTTCTATAAAGCCAAATGGACCAAGTGATGATAAAGAATGACATTCTCCACACTTTCCTTTTAGAAATACTTACGTGAAGAGAGTTCCATGCCTTAAAAAACCCGATAGCAGTATTTGGCATACTGGTAGAGATATTCCAATCATCGCACCATGAGCACCACAATCTCCAAGATTCAAAACAGGTGAAAAAGAGATGATTAACAGATTCAATTTCATTGTTGCACAGCACGCACAAGGATGCCTCCAGTTGTATAAGGTTTCTTTTGACAGTTGTCCCTTTTAACGACCACCTACCTTAAGTACTTGCCATACAAATATTTCTACCTTTGGAGGAGCTAATCCAGCCCACACATTCTTCCACAATTCAATGTTTGTGTCGCAATTACTTAGAACAGATTTACAAAAGGAGTTGATAGAATAATTACCATTTGGAGTGAGCTTCCAAATTAGTTTGTCCTTAATCTCCGATTCAAGCTGGATTCCCTGCAAGTAGTCCTTGAACTGTTCCCATTCCTCTTTCTCCCAATCAAAAACTTTTCTTCGCAACTCAACATGCCATCGCCATTCCTGGTTGGTCCAAAAGCCAAACTCACATACCTTACCGGTTTTGTTTGTGGCTAGAGCAAAGATGCGTGGAAAAGCTGTTTTAAGAATAATGCCATCAATTCACTCATCCTCCAAAGTAAATGTTTGCACCGTTACTAATCAAGTATCCAATAGCTGCACAAAGAGAAGAAGAGAAGCTCCCCGAAGGGGTAAGTACACAGGTAATGTTCTTTAAATGGTAGACATATGCCTACCGTCCGGATTGCAAGGTAGTAAGCTCAAGTTATCCCCTCGTTTTTCTCGATAATCATTGAGCGCCATAGACTCTCCTTTTCCTCACCATATCTCCAAAGCCATTTATTCAAGAGAGCTCTATTTTTCAACCGAAGATCGATAAAACCCAGTCCCTTATAATTTCAAAGATTACAAACTGACTCCTAATTCACCCAGTGTATACGCCTCTTTTGATCCGAATCGCCCCACAAGACTCACCTCTAAATCTTGTCAAGTTCCTCCTTCACTCCAGCAGGAATCTTGAATAAGGACATAAAGTAAATCGGAAAGCTTGCAAGGACTGATTGGATCAGGGTAACCCTACCGTCGCTTGAAAGCATTTTGGATTTCCATCCTGCGAGTCTCATAGCAAATCGATCAATCACTGGGCGCCAGATACTAGTGGAGTGGTGTCTCACCCCTAGTGGAAGGCCTAAGTAAGTAGTAGGAAGGGAACCAACCAAACATGAAAATTTATCCGCCCAAGTTTGAATCATGTCTCCCACCTTAATGCTGAAAATACTACTTTTTCGAAAGTTGATCTTAAGGCCAGAGATAACCTGAAAGCATTGTAGAACCTTCTTGATATTCAGCACATTTTCAATGTTTGGTTTACTCAGAATCATGGCGTCGTCTGCGTATTGCAGGTGAGAAATGGTGGGACCATTGTTGCCAATCTCCACTCCCTTACACAACCCCATTGATGCTACTTTGTATATGAGCACGCTAAATGCCTCGCCAACAATGTTAAAGAGGTATGGGGAAAGAGGACATCCTTGGCGTAAGCCTCGTCTAAGTTTGATTTTGCGGGATGGGGAACCATTAACAAGAACCGAGACAGCAGCAGTAGTAAAGCATGTCATGATCCATTTCCTCCACCGTTCACCGAAACCCATCTTACCCATAACAAAGTCAAGGAAGGACTAGACCATACTGTCGAAAGCCTTTTCGAAGTCCACTTTAAAGAAAATCCCTCCTGTTTTGCTTTTTTGAAGGCAGTCGACAAGCTCATTAGCAATAAGCACACAGTCCGTGATTTGCCTCCTTTTGATGAAAGCGAATTGGTTCGGCCCAATGACGTG